TAAAAAATAAAACACTGAACACCTTATAACGCTGAGATATATTTATTAAAACACAAACGTTTTCAGCCTAATGTAATAGGCCATCATCAGGTGAATTTGCTGTCGAACACCTTTTGAAAATTCTGTTAAATGGAACTTTCGAACCTTATAAATTCAAAATTATAACGTAAAATAAATTAACCAATCAATACACAAAATAACTATAATAAATAAATTAAAGCCATATTAATATAAATAATAAAATAAGGCGATATAAAAATAAAAACAAATAAATAAACCCAAAATATTAAATGCACAAAAAGGATTAAACTCATAAAATATATACATCAAAAAGCATCACATTATAAAGGGCAGATAGGAATTAATAATTTGTGTGTTTTAACTTTTCTTTTACAAGGAACTTCCACGCCGAAGGTAAACTATCAGCATCCCTTGCATTAATACAGCCGTCTCTTAATTTACTCTTATAAATTTCAATTTTTTCATGTTGCAACGCCAAAGATGGGGACTTCAACGTCTTGAGAATAGTTGCTTCATTTCATTTAACTACTGAAGCCTCCGTTTGTGCCATATTTGACAAAACTGTGGTAAAATGTCCTTTGCTAATGTCATATCTGTGTTCTTTAAGCCTAATAGCCAAATTTCGTGTTGTGACTCCAATATAGTCCTTCATAATTCCTAACTGTTGGTTTTCAAAGCGAATTTTATACATGCCCGCTGTTTCTTCTTTTTAAAGCTTGTCTTTGTTGTTTCTAAAAATACTGTATAAATTAGGACCTCTTTTGTAAACAATTTTGGAGCGTTTTTTATCTGAAACTTGCTTCATGATGTCCTTGAAGTTTTTATTATACGTAAATTTTGTGATCTTAAATTGATCTGTTCCCGTTCTTAGCCTCTTGCCTCTTTCATAACTTTTTACTAGCCCTTCAATTGTACTTCTGCGGAAACCCAAATTTGTAGCTACTTCCTTAATTCTGTTAATCTCTTTACTCCTATCCACATTCTGTTCTTCTAACGTATTCTTCCAAAGCTTTGTTATAGCTTTTTCTGTCCATTATAACAATATGCTTACTCTTGTCCTCCCGTGTTAGGACCAACTCATTGTCATTCAACCACTGTTTTGCACGTTTTAGCTGTTTTATTTCCTTATTCTTCGTTCTGCAGGTGCGATCTCTAAGAACAATCTTCCATCGGAAAAAATGCTTTTCTAACTCGTTAAATTCTATCAATCCTCTCTCCATTTCTGCTAATGAAGTTTGCCATAAGTTTTCGTCTTCCGGAACAAAGTTAGGACCTTTTTGTAGGATTTCCTTGATTTCAGTTGGGATGTGGACTTGGTCCCATATAACAAAAGGCGATGGGTTTATGTTCAATTTTTTTCTTTTTTGTTACTTGCTTACTCAAGATCCACTTCATTTTCTTGATATATCTTTTCCTTAAACTTTTTTGTACCTTTTTTTGCATAACAACGAGCATATACATAAAACCTACGCACAATCCTCTCAACATAGCAGCTAATTCGAATGATCCGCATGAATACAAAATGTCAGCATTTCGGGCACTCATTAGGAGAGCGTTTACTTATTGCTCCAATATATTGGATAGGAGTAAAGAGATTAACAGAATTAAGGAAGTAGCTACAAATTTGGGTTTCCGCAGAAGTACAATTGAAGGGCTAGTAAAAAGTTATGAAAGAGGCAAGAGGCTAAGAACGGGAACAGATCAATTTAAGATCACAAAATTTACGTATAATAAAAACTTCAAGGACATCATGAAGCAAGTTTCAGATAAAAAACGCTCCAAAATTGTTTACAAAAGAGGTCCTAATTTATACAGTATTTTTAGAAACAACAAAGACAAGCTTTAAAAAGAAGAAACAGCGGGCATGTATAAAATTCGCTTTGAAAACCAACAGTTAGGAATTATGAAGGACTATATTGGAGTCACAACACGAAATTTGGCTATTAGGCTTAAAGAACACAGATATGACATTAGCAAAGGACATTTTACCACAGTTTTGTCAAATATGGCACAAACGGAGGCTTCAGTAGTTAAATGAAATGAAGCAACTATTCTCAAGACGTTGAAGTCCCCATCTTTGGCGTTGCAACATGAAAAAATTGAAATTTATAAGAGTAAATTAAGAGACAGCTGTATCAATGCAATGGATGCTGATGGTTTACCATCGGCATGGAAATTCCTTGTAAAAGAAAAGTTAAAACACACAAATTCTTAGTTCCTAACTGCTCTTTATAAAATGATGTTTTTTATGTATATATTTTTATGAATTTAGTCCTTTTGTGCATTTAATCCTTTAGATTTATTTATTTTGTTTTTATTTTTATTTTTGTTTTTATTTTTATATCGCCTTATTTATTATTTATATTAATATGGCGTCAATCTATTTAGTATACTTATTTTGTATATTGATTGGTTAATTTATTTTTCGTTTTAATTTTGAATTTATAATGATCGAACGTTCCATTTAATACAATTTTGAAATACGTTCGAATGCCAGTTCATCTGAAGATGGCCTATTCCATTAGGCTGAAAACGTTTGTGTTTCAAAAAATATATTTCAGCATATAAGGTGTTAAGTGTCTTTATTTTGCCACCATAATACTGGTCTGATAGAACCAACTGTTGATGAAGGGAGTTGAAGTAATTCGACCAAAAGTAGTCCTTGACCTTTTCCTTGAAGACAGAATAATCAACGACTACTAACTAATTTCGGTCTACTATTAATAACGAGATTGAGGCCGAAGTTTTCAACGAAAAAACGTGAATGTTTGGCGTTCAGGTTTTCGAGTTTAAAACTCTGACCGCAACCTAGCTAACAGTTGAAAAGCGATTCGTTTTGAATTGGCTGTGATTGCCCCGCATATGATCGAAGTTGCTAAACATAATGTCTGAAAGATCTCATATCACTTCTTAATTTAAAAAAATCTTGTAAAAATTCCGGAATAATTGATTTATGTTTATATTTTCGCAACAGATTGTATCAACTACGTGGGAAGTACGTTCTCGTAAATATTGAATTAGAAATAGTAAATAGAAAAATCATTCAGTTGCAATTTGAAAAAAAAACTGCAGTCTATAAATTCCGACTGTCATTCCCTATGTGTCTGTCTGTACTTCCTTAATCTCGAAGAAGGAGTTAGCAAGATAAAAGTTTTGACCAGGTGTGGAAAGCTTATGGTTAGGAAGCCCAAGTTAACTGTACAAACTTCTGGTATAAACCAGAAGTCACGTTACATTCATTGAAAATTTCACCTGGAAAAAGGTAGATAGATATTGACAGGACTCTATTCCTAACAGGGAAAGTATGATGCTCATTCGTAAGACCGATACGAAAAAAATTGAGAACATCGTGACGAAAACTTGCTGCCCAGCATTGTGATAATGTCACATTAAATAATCCCACGTTAGAATTAGTTTCATCGTGCCCAAACCCAAGACTAACCACCAGTGTTCAATGGTTTTATCCACTCAGCTACTGGAGGAGACTTATTAGAATTAACAAAATATTGTTCAGAAATAAAAAACACGAGTTGTGTTAGATGTGGAAAATTAAATACTTATAGGCTATTCACAGACTTTCACAGGCTTAAACACTTTTCATTCCACGCTGGAAAGTGCTATATGCTACCTGTCTCGGCAATGGTTTAGGGCGTCTGTATCATTGACTAGTAATTAAGTGAATAATATATATATTTTGAAATTATATCTCTTTCTTATGAGAATTATATACCCTTAAATTATGGGTCGCCTATAATCATACTGTATTTAGCCTTGTATGATATTCTCATAGTTTTTTGTATATTATCTTCTTATTCATGAATTTATGTGTATTTTGTTAACCTTGCACAATTTTAAGTTTACTTTTATTTATTGTTAATCTTATATTTTTCATAAAAGCTTTAAATTTAAATTTTGCATTTAGAATTCTTCAAATGTTAAAATTTTAAATGGACTGTTCCATTTGTGGAGCATTTTCTAAAAGCATTTTAAGTAACCTTATGACGGCCTACATATAAGAGTAGGCTGAAAACGTTAGTAATTAAAACTTTTCTCTAAGCGAATGCATCAGTGGTCGTAAATTTGTAATAATTATATTTAGTTTATTACTTTGTTAAAAAGTCTGCCAATAGATGGCGCTACGTGTAAATCAGCAAATCCAATGTAAATAGACTTTAGTTAATTTATAAAAATTCAATTGATATTATGATATTATAACATTATCGAAATAAGTGGTGTGTAAGTAATATCTGCTGAGTTCGCGATATAGCGATATAGCGATAAGTCGAATGGCCTTGGAGTGTACAGTGAACAAACATCCAAACATTCTCATTTCTATATATAGAAAAATAATAACTTTCAGGCTGATTAAATAGTGTAAGTAAAGAAATTACAACTACGCAATTACGTGTTCTCTTACAAAATGTACAGCATTACAGTCATTACTGAGTAATGAACAAAAATTTTAATTATTGCACAATTGAAAGAGTGAATTTTAAATCATGCTATCGTGGAAAATAAAAGCAGCAACACAGAAGAGCAAAAACTTGCATTGACAAAAATAAATGCATTGGCCAATTGAAATGGAATTTAATTTGGTCCAAACATTAAAAAACAGCAAACGATATGAGATATCGTAATATTGTATGTGTGGCATCTTAAAGATGCCATGCAAAGAACAATAGGTTAAAAGTAAATATTATGTACAAATCTCTAAAATAGCTTATTTTACTTATTTTGTTCCAAAAATTAATAAGTATAACAAACACTACATCTGGAACATTTAATAATTTCGATTCATTATTCGTAGAATTTTGGAGACAGCTTAATTAATAATAAATTAATTAAGGCGGTGCTGAATAGTTCAGTAATAGGCTGTTATTACTCAACTCAACTATTCACTAAACCCCAAGGAGTTTTCATCTGAATATATCAGGTTTTGTCCTACAGCACTTGTTGCATCAATTTTAGCCCAGCCTAACCCATAAGGAACTTACAAAAAACACTTTCCATCTACCCACACAGTAAAATCAATTTTAAAAATTAGAATTTCAAAAAATCATTAACGAAACGCAATATTGTTATTTATGTTTAAAATAAAATTCTCAAATAATGTAACCAGTTTTCAGAAAACAAACATTATAAATTTTCCCTTGATCATAAAAGTCTTCTAAAGCTTTATGAAACTTAAAATACGGTCATGTTTTTTAAATAGTGAAATACGAAGAATGTTTATTAATAAAACATGCGGTCTTAAACAATTACCTTATATCTTAGAAAATTTAACATTAATTTATATATATAACAACTATTTCACTCTTCTATATACTAAAGATACAGGCACTCATGTTGACAAGAAACATAAACATCGGCAAATACTCGGAATTTCACGAATGTTTATAATCTATTATCGTCTGATAAAACGGTGTAATAAATCATTAAAACAATTACACGGTTATTATTTTTTGAACAAAAAAAACATAATAAAAACGGTTATATACTATTTATAGAAGAAAATGTAAATGTAACAATACTGTTTAAGAGACAATCCAAATTGCTTAATACTTCAGCCAACTCATTTCATAACAATTAGATTGGTCACAGGTAAATATCACAATACCTAAGCTATCTATAATCACAGTTTCATTTCAATATATATTTATATTTTGAATTTATATATTGAATAATTTTTGAATATTTTGAATAATATTTTGAATAATAATTATTCATTTATATTTTGAATAATATTCTTATCATCTCTTTCGGCTAATTTAGACAAGTGTTCAGTTTAATCAGAATAAACATTAGAATTTGATTAACTTACTTCTGAAGCATATTTCCAAGATATTCTGAACTATGATATTTCGAAATTTCGAATAAATCTTCTTCCTTTAAACGGTGCTTTGTTCCTTTGATTATTATTGGAAAAAGCCAACTGAAAAATAAATAAATTATTTTGTATGGTTCATTACAGTTATTTTTTTCTACAGATTCTTATTATAATTAAAATCTAATGAAAGACAATAAATAATATTTATAAATACATATCAACAATTACTGTGACTATTCAAGAAGTGCAAATTTCCACAACACACAATGAAAAATGCTTGTATATATTACATCACCCTTCTAACTATTACAATTACAATGTATTTGAAACATTTCTGAAGAGATACGAAGTATAAGGTAAATATATAATGCATATAAAACCAGCTATATTAATATGAAATTATTAGCAGATACAATCGTTTGCAGTTATAGTAATCTTAATTTTTAAGATGAAATTTTTATTCTGAAATCTCCATTTATCAAAAGTATCCATTTTCAGGATATTTTCCTAAACGAAGACATCAAGAATTAACGTACATGGATATAAAAGAGAAAAAGCCACAATAGTAAATAAAAATAAACCAGTTGCAAACACGTTTTCTTTAAAAGAAAATGCCGTAAAGTAATGCTGTATTAAATTATCATAACGTGACAAAAATTATAACTCTGAGTTTTTTAATTTGTCTTAGAAACTGGATGAAGGAAGGCTAAATCAATAATTGATTTTAGAAAATATTTAAGGACCACAGAAGTTTATCCAAAACATATACATATTTGTATAACAAAAACTTTATTTGCAACATTAATTATTATTGAATAATAGTGTATTAACGGAAATAATGATTGTTTCATATATTTGTAAAGATGTGAATTGAAATGTAAATAAAAGACAGGTTGCGGCCGACGTTTTCATCGCGAGAAAAGGCCGCATCCTCTGTAATAATTTTTTATTTTAATTTTTGAATAAGATTTCTTCTCTTTGCTAATCAGAAACATCACCAGAGTAATAAGTCCTATTAATAGACAAGGCCCGAGTAGACAATGTATACACAAAAGTGTAAAATGGTCAGTATGAAGCGACAAAAAAAATTAATATAAATTTAGGATTTACTTCCACATTCATCTCTCTCATTTGAGGGAAATTAATTGAGAAAAAATATTTTCCTGCTCTTTTTGCACATGGTTTCCAATTAAATCCCTTAAATCTGAATGCTTATAAGAATTCAACAAATATAATAATTTTAGCCAACGGGTAGTTTATGCTGTGTTAGAAATGAAATTGAAATATGTTTCTGTTAATCAGGACATGTGCTGCGAGCTGTTTCTGCAAAAATGGTGCTAGTGCACTAGCACCATTTTTGCAGTATTTGACACTCAACAGTATTTGACACTCAACGCGTGCATTTACAAAACATGATTGATGACTGATTAAAAGAAAAAAGCATTAATAATATCATAAATTTATGAATTCCTGTAGAATAATGTACTTGATAGCATCAGCTGTTGGCAGCGGTTGAAGCAGTACAATTTTGATTGGTGAGAACAATAAAACAAAATACAGTAGAGCGTCGTTTATCCGAAAGCTGGTTATCCGAAACGTCCGTTATCCGAAAGCATTCCAGTCGGCAAATTTAAATTTTCGCTAGTGCTGTGGCGCTGCAATCTTCGGCTATTTCTCGGGCTACTCAAATATTTTACGTTTTTGATACTAAATTAACATCTGAAGTATAATTTTTTATTGTTTTTATATTTTTCAATAAATTTATTTTGTTTGTACAAAATAAAAAAATAATTTTTAACGATACAATAGTCTTCGTTAGGCTTAACATCGACGAAAATTCAACGCGAAGCGACA